TTGCTAAAAAGATACACAATGTGAGGTGTTAAAAGGTAAGTGCTACGTTACTTTCATAACATTTGAAGCATCTGATTTTTCCTTAACCTGGTCAGTGGTTTGGTCAGCAACGGTTTAGTAGTTGTAGGTGCTTGTGTTGTCCTTCTAACTGCCACTTCAAAATTAAAATGACAGATTTTATTTTCCTTTTTAGGTTAAAAATAAAGACTGTGCGCCAGAGTCTTAGGGAGTAATATTTCTTCATAACAAAACGATTAAGGCACTTACAATACAAAAGTAAGGCCCAGTTTAAATATCGAATTTCAAATGTGTTGAATTTCAGTATAGATGAGCAAATCCTGTTGGTTGATCTTGCATTAATTTGCACGAGATTCGGGACATGACATTCGACGCGGTACACTTTTGTTTTGTTTTTATTAACGTACCCATATTGCACGTCACACCAACGTCTTCACTATGGTAGCAGATCGTATTTCCCCATCCATTGTGACTGCAGTCTGCAATCGACGTTTCTCTTCCTGTACAACCGACGTACATCARCCATATTATGCCCTTGACGCGTGTAAAGCTGGTGGTTATGTATTCCTGTACTCCAGGGTAACCAAGCATACGACACACCACCTCAGCGTCTTTCATGTCCCATCCATATTTACACACAGTACCCCACTGACCATGGAACCTGACTTCAAGTCGACCAGAATTGTCTGACCTTCCTCCAGCTAAACGAACTTGAACTGGTGGAGGATCTGTGGAKTCGTACCAACATCATTGAGGTCATTGTACAACTGTCACTTGGACAAGTGTTTGAAAGAGAATAAATAGAGCTTTACTAAAGCTCTTGTCTGATCAAAAAATGAACTATTTAGATGATTGGCTTTGATGTGATGATATTTGAATGATCAGAGTAAAGAGATTTGTCTTTCTTACCTTCGTTTGTCTGACAAACCACACCAGCAAGATCTTTATTCGAGCACCCTAAATAAATATTCCACCATCCACGGTGAGCACACTCTGCTATCGACTT